GGGCATGCTGTGTACCCTTCCTCAGGACACAATTCTCACTAACTGGTTGGAAAAGTGACACCTTCTTCTCTCAAAAAAGGCGAAAGTTCCAGTAAGGAGATTTGCTTGAGCGAGGAGGAAAAATCCCCACGTCATAGTCCCCTGAAATGCCAAGGCCTCCCAAACCCTGGTGAATCTGGGGTGGCCAGAATTAGTGGGGACTCTTCAGAAAATGGTCAGCTTGCTACGTTCATTCATTTTCAAAAGGATTCGGTTTGAAAATGAAGCCAGGTCACTAAGGTACCTGGTCTTGCCCTGTTCTAGGTGTTTATCTTCCCCAGACTTGGACTAAGACCCAGAACCTCTGTTAACCAAGTTTGCAGAGGGCTTACAAGTTGCTAGGGGAGGTGAGTATGCAGCCAGACAGAGATAAGATGAAAAACACTTTAATAGTTGGCCAAAAGCCAATAAAATGCAAGTCAACACATTTAGGTCACAATTTGCGGTGAAAATCAGCTTTAGGACCACTGATGAGAAAGACCCGGCTGACTGAATGGAAAGGTGACATAAGAAAAATTTCTGGGAGCAGTAAATACGTGACCCACAGGCTAAATGTGACCCACAGATCATATTTTTTTTATTTTTTATTTATTTATTTATTTTTTTAATGTTTTATTTAATTTTGAGAGAGAGAGAGAGTTCGAATGGAGGAGGGGCAGAGAGAGAGGGAGACAGAGAATCCGAAGCAGTCTCCGGGCTCTGAGCTGTCAGCACAGAGCCCAACGCGAGACTCGAACCCACGAACCGTAACCTGAGCCGAAGTCGGACGCTTAACCGGCTGAGCCACCCAGGCGCCTCCCACAGATCATATTTTTAAATGCATGAGGATTCTTAGAAATTTCAAGTTCAATAACATTTGACCAGCCTAGCATTCTACCATTTGCCACACATCCCACCCCTTCCTCCCGCATCCCAGTTTCTCACGCCTACCTGCCCGCCACCTGCAGGCATCCATGTTGGCAATCTGACTTAGAATTTTCCATCCATTGCTATCTCACTAGGAGTCAACTGTTGTTATGGTTACCTAAATAGGATTATGCAATCTCAGCCGTGTTCAACAGAAGGACAACGTTGAGAACAATAAAGATGGTGTTTTGACCAGTTTTGTCCTGCGCTGTCCTTTTGGTTTTTCAGAGGAACATTTACAAGCATCCAGGGAATGGCCATATGGCCATATGGGTGTGACTCCAAACCACACCCCGTGCAGGACGGTTGAAAAGGAAAGACGATTTATCAGGGTCTCTATCTCTCTCCAGGTATCTCTACGTCATTAAGCCACTGCAGTCTCACACTTGAACCGCTGCAGCAGCATGGCTGCCAGTGTCTCACTCTCTCCCAGACTCCGTTCATTTCAGCATTAGTTATTTCCTGAATCTACACCTTCCTGTCTCTGTCCGCTCCTAGACACCATCGTCTCCAGCCTGGCCCAGCTGTCTGCCTAATGACCTTTTGTCAACCATACTTTGTCTTCTCCAATGCATTTCCCAAGCTGCACACACCCATCTCTTTAAAACTCCAGGATAATGCTGCCCTTCCTTGTCACCTCTGTTCCCACCACAATGGTCTCCTTTCTGCCCTCAAACATGGCCTGGTCCCCACCCATCTGAGAACCTTTGCTCTGGAGTTTTCCATCTTTGGAATATTTTTCCTCTCAGCTGTTACCCTAGTTTGCCTCCTTCTCCATGTGAAATGTCTCACCTCCAAGTGACTTCATTCAGGCGTCTTCTTGATCACTGTGGCAGAAACACCCACTTCCGCTCGCTTTCTTACCATCTTTTCCTAGATTTTTCACAGCATTCATTTCCAGAGCCCTCAGTGTTTGATCTGGTGGCTAATGTGTTTGGTGTCTGTCTCCTCCACTAGGATGTAATTCCTGGGCAGACGTTTTACCTGTTTTCTTCAAGGCTGAATCCACATTGCATGGAATAAATGTGTATTGACTAGCTCCTTAAAAACCCTTATCGGGGTGCCTGCGTGGCTCAGTTGTTAAGCATTTGACTTTGGCTCGGGTCATGATCTGACAGTTCAAGTTCAAGTCCACATCAGGTGAGCTTGAGCCCCTCTTTGGGTAAAACACCAGCCTCAAGAGAGTCCTGCTTCTCCTTCTTTCTCTCTCTGCCCCCTGTGGGATTCTCCCACCCCTCCGCCCTCTCTCTGCCCCCTTGCTCACTTGCACCCTCTCTCTCCCAAACAACAACAACAACAACAAACTTTATCAAAGTCATAGAGACATGAAAACACAATGATGGTTTCCAGAGGCGAGGGGCAGGGCGCGGAGAGGTAGGGAGGGAGGAATGGGGAGTCATTGTTTCAAAGAAAAGGGTCAGAGCTTTAGTGTTGCAAGATGAAAAAAGTTCAGGAGGCAGGTGCTGATGGCTGCACAATACTGTGAATGTACATCATGCTGCTGAAACGTACACTTAAAGCCGGTTAGGACAGTGGGTTTTATATTATGCATATTTTCCCACAATTAAATGTTTGTTTAAGTGATTTTTTGAAAACACTTAACACCTCTCCATTGCTCTGAAGATCATGACCAGAATTTTTACTTTGTTCTGTGGGAACCAGCAGGTTTGGCCCCGCCTATCTTTGCGGCAGCCACTATACCTTGTACATTTTCAAAGACATCAGACTTCTATCCCGCAGGGCTTTGGTGTCTGCTGATTCATCTACCTGGGACGGTCAGATCTTCACATGACTCTATCTTTTCCAGTGTTCAGTTCTAAGGCTCGGTGATTCAGCAGGCCTGCCTCCCTTCCCTGCCTCCGCGTCTGAATTTGAGCTTCACCGTCCTATCGCCCTTTTCTTTTTCTTTTTCTTTTTAATGTTTTATTTATTTCTAGGAGAGAGAGAGAGAGACAGCGTGAGTAGGGGAGGGTCAGAGAGAGAGGGAGACACAGACTTTGAAATAGGCTCCAGGCTCTGAGCTGGCAGTCAGCACAGAGCCCAACGCAGGGCTCGAACCCACAAACCGCGAGATCATGACCTAAGCGAAAGTGGGACACTTAACCGACTAAGCCACCCAGGCGCCCCCTTATCGCCCTTTTCTATTTTCTTCATAGCATTGCTCCTAATTTCTTTGGTTCCTCATTTGTTGCCAGCTTCACCCACAGCATTTTAAGTTAATTGAATTCAGAGATTCTGTGTGTTGTTATCCCAGGATCCCAGACGTCTTGAATCCCACAGCATACACTAGGCATTCAAGTAATTGACAGTTAACGGATTGAATAAAGCATTCTTGGAAGGTAGCAGTTACTATTCCTGTATTACGGATGTGAAAATGGAGGTGCAGGGAGGTTTTATCACCTGCCCAAGGATCCGTATCCTGTTAAGGGCAGAGCTAGAATTTAAAAACAGAATCGGTTCAGATTGGTGTCTGTCTGTGCCCTACCTGTTCTCATCACTCTTCTCTGTACTACCTTTAGTTCCTTCAAGACTTGCGAGCACACACACACACAGAGGCTTGCACACTCACCAATACGTACAAACACAAGACACATACATACACAAATAAAAACCAGCCTCCTTTTCCTAATGTAGAGTTAATCTCGTTCATCCAGATATGTGACAAAACACAACAGAATTAAGACAACTATTCCAGTGATGGGTTGGAAATGATTGGCTCATGGTAAAAGAAAATGCTCATTCATTTATTCATTCATTCAAGCACCCGTCATTTATTGTGCTCTGGGAATTCCAACAGCGGAGGAAAAACAGACCAGGGAGAACCACAAACCCTTTGGCTAAAGCCCATCAGGTGTGGTGTATTTCATTGTTTCTCAAAGGACCACCTGCACCCACTCTCCAAGGGCTTGGCTGCTATTTGTAGCCTTAGTTTACAGATGAGAAAACAAGCAGATAGGGTAAGGGAATTGACTCTGGCCCTGGACCAAGAAGCCTCTTGCTCTCTCCATGTAATACACCTCATGCTCGGCCATTTTTAAGCTCTTTCTCACAGCACTCGAACATACAAGACGCTCACGACTCCAGGTGTGGTCTATGGACCAGCAGCATCAATATCACCTGGGAGTTTATTTGAAATGCAAATTTTTGGATTCCACCCAGACCTCCTGGATAAAATCTGCATTTTAAAAATCCCCAGGTAACTCATGTGCGCTGCAAGTTCGAAAGTATGCTTCAGATTACTGATAAGTACAAATGCAAAAAGCAGGGCAATCTTTGTATCTCTTGCTCTCATAGTTTTCTAGAATTTTCTTTCTTAGCATACAGTTATTTCCTACTAAAAAACTCAAAATGCTATGGCGTGTGATGGGACTAAATCCTAGTGTCTGCTGCCACCTTGTGGTGACAAGAATTTGCAGGCAGAGTTTGCTCTTCCTCAGGAAATAAACGGGGAAATATTAGAAGGGAAGGATGGACCAGGCCCTCAACTTTTTCAGCCATGTGCTTTGAGAGACAGCTACAAAATTCCATGATATAATAAAATAACGTTTAGGTGGACTATGAGATGGCCAGATAACAACTGGCCTTTTTAACCTGTGCCTGTCCTAGGGCTGAGCGAGTATTCATCAGCTCTCGTGGAGAAATCTGACAAAAGCCGGGGTCAGCGATATTCCTACAGGGTCTTTTCTTTTTGGAACTCAGACATGCACATCTGTACGCGATCATCAATTGGTGTGTGATTATTTTATTACCACCCCAAATGGCAGTGGTTAGGCAATCAGGCCACCTTTTCTGCATTTGCCTCGGCCGACCGGAATTTCCCACAGCTCTGTCAAGTGCATCATTCCCAGCCTCTGAGAGGTGGTAAACACGGCCAGTCCCACCAATGATGTCTCTCACACCTAGAAGGGAATAAGAACAAGATTCCAAAACTTTCCTACATACTTGTCCCCCAAACAGCCCAGCGGTTAAAAGTGCACAGGATAATCTTGTTTGGCGGTGGTGAGCTCAAGAGCTGAAGGAATCGAAAAGTGCTACAGCAGGTGGATTTGACAGCAATGGACCCCCCTCCGTCATATCTTCCAGTGTCTTTTAAGGGCACCTGTGGAAGAGTCGGCCAGTACCAGAGACTCCAGCATCCCAGAAAGAAAAACGGCCCCTTTAAAAGAAAGGGGATGGAAAGGTAGGTAAATGGGATTCATTTTCTTTTCTGTTGAGGGAGATGTTTGGATTTGGAATTAAATGATATTCATTGTGATGATTAGAAAAGGTGGCTTCTCTTTTTCAGCATTGCCTTTAGAAATGAAGTCTCTGAATGGATTGAGGGCGGGGGGAGGTGTTGCATAATACATTGGTCAGAAAGCCTAGTGCCAGAGTGCAAGTCTCAATTAGTGAAAAGGAAAGTGTAATCGTGATGAGGAAAACCTTTCCTTTCCACCTTAATTTGGGTTTTAATGCAGCAGAGGACACTAAAATGAGCATTGAGTTGTTACTTCAGTTTCAAAGTTTTAGACCTCCCACGTCCTGTGTAAATGCTATGATTTTGAAAACTCAGTAGTACATTCTTTGAGAAGAGTCCATGATCAAGCTTTCTGTTCCCTCGCCCAGTAATATGTCCTGAAATATGTATTAATTGTATTTCACGCTGTACATGTTCTTTTTTTTTCAATTTTGACATATATTTATTATTGAGAGACAGCGAGAGACAGAGTATGAGCTGGGGAGAGGCAGAGAGAGGCAGAGACACAGAATCCGAAGCAGGCTCCAGCATGGAGCCTGACGCAGGGCTCAAACTCACAAGCTGCGAGATTATGACCTGAGCCTAAGTCGGAAGCTTAACCGACTGAGCCACCCAGGAGCCCCTGTGAATGTTCTTTAATGTCACATTATAACTGCCTTACACCTGATATTTCCTGCCAGTGGAAAAGCCATAGAGACAGGCAGCAAATACCCCAAACATAATACATTTTAATTTGGAAAATCAATGAGATGATTTATTTTCCAATTTCTTCTGGTTTCTTTCTTACCAGGTTCATGAGCAATAGATCAGACATGTAGAAATGAGGTGTTTTTATGAGGCCTGAATCCTCAAACACCAACCTACTGAACTTCCTTGGACAAAATGAAAATTGCAGAGATTTCCACTTTTAATAAAAAAAAGAGGTTAAAAGGGGAAGCAATACAACAAAATAAATTCATTACCATCCAAGATATTTGAAAATTTAAGATTTCTGTCTTTTAGACAAAGAAATTTAAAATTTCTGTCTTTTCAAAACAAAAATTCCAACAGTTCTATTCCAAGGCCTGGAACAAAGTCACCTTTGTTAATTATGTTATAAATAGAATGGGGCACCTGTGTGGCTCAGTTAGGTAAGTATCAGACTCTCAATTTTGGCTCAGGTCATGATTTCATGGTTTGTGAGTTCGAACCCTGCCTTGGACTCAGTGTTGACAGCATGGAGCCTGCTTGGAATTCTTTGTGTCCCTCTTTCTCTGCCTCTCCTCTGCTCACACTCTGTCTTTCTCAAATAAATAAACTTTAAAATAAACAAATAGGGAATGAGGGTAAAGGGCATGGTGTGGGAGATGCATTCTAGAGATTCAGACTGCTTAGAGCTGGGCTTTTAATCTGAGAGATTACATGGAAGGCCTTTGGGGTTCTTGAGCCTCCTGAAATTGTATTTCCATTTTTTTGGAGTGTGTATGTGTGTATGTATATTTATGGTAATAGTAATTGATGGCTTTATTAAATGATTCTCACAGGGCTCTATGGAAGATTAATCCTAGCGCATAAATAGACTTTGGACAAATTAGAAAATGGCACTCTAGCCTCAAGACTACTGCCACTTGCTAGAGAGTTACAGTAACTATACACTACAATGACTAAATGTGAATAGCACCCCCTAGCGTTTGTGTGCATGTGTAACTGGAAGAACTGTTCCAGGCCCCAAAGCAAGGCTGGCTAGCCCGCAAGGTCTCCCTTCTTTTTACCTGAAGCTTGAGCTCCCTCCTTGCCTTTCACATTTTTTCCTCACTCATCAGAATCCCATATTAGTAAAAGCTATTGTTTATTAGGTGCCAAGTACATGATTTTTTTTTTTTTTTTTGTACTCTCACATTTCTGAAAACAGTATACCCATTTTCAAATGAGAACACCTAAGCTTAGAGGTTAGATGATGTGCCCAAGATCACTCAACTAGAGTGTGGTGTAGGGTTGGACAAGACCATTGAACTCTGGTGCCTGGACTCTTCTGAATGACATCCCATGCAGAATGACCGAGAAGCTGAGTGACTTAGGTCTAGTTTAGAGCAGTATTTTTTTGGAGGATGCTGTATGCCCTACTGGTGGTACTTGAGATATTTTAGGTAGGAATATGGAGAACATCTTTTTTTTAAATGTTTTATTTATTTATTTCTGAGAGAGAGAGAGAGACAACGTGAACAGGGGAGGGTCAGAGAAATAGGGAGATACAGAATTTGAAACAGCCTCCAGGATCTAAGCTAGCTGTCAGCACAGAGCCTGACACAGGGCTCAAACCCACGAACTGTGAGATCATGACCTGAGCTGAAGTCGGATGCTTAACCGACTGAGCCACCCAGGAGCCCTGAAGAACATCTTCTAATAGTTATGAACTTATTTTAATCTATACTAGAAATATGTCACATATATTGCAAACATAATAAAACATGACATAATATAAAACCTGGGATTTTATCCAGAAGAATGAAGATTTATATTCATACAAATGTTTATGTGTGTATTCATATTAGCCTCAGACTGGAAACAATCCAGATGTCTTTCAGTGAGTGAATGATTAGACAGTGTGGTCATACAGATGGTGGAATATTACTTGGCAACAAAAAGGAACAAACAATTGATACATTCAACAATCTGGATGAATTTCCAGGAGATTTATGCTGAGTGGAAAAAAGTAAATCCCAAAAGATAATACACTGTATGATTCCATTTATACAACATTTTTGAAAGGACAAAATTATACAAATGGAGGACAGCTTAAGGAGACGGGGGAGGGAGGTGCCTGGGTGGCTAATTTGGTTAAGTGTCCGACTTCAGCTCAGGTCATGATCTCACAGTTTGTGAGTCCCGTCCGGCTCTGTGCTGACAGCTCAGAGCCTGGAGTCTGCTTCAGATTCTGTGTCTCGCTCTCTCTCTGCCCCTCCCCTGCTCGCTCTCTGTCTTTCTCTGTCTCAAAATATAATAAAGACATAAAAATTTTTTTGAAAAACAAAGGAAAATAAAAGGAGATGGTGGAGGTGAGTGAGCACTAGGTGTGGCCATAACACATGAAGGATCCTGGCGGTGATGGAAATGTTCTATATCTTGACACTATCAATGTTGTGATAGTTATACTTTTATAAGAGGTTACCATTGGAGGAAACTGGGCAAATCTCCCTGTATTACTTCTTATGACTGCTTGTGAAAACTACAATTGTCTGAACATTAAAAGTTTAATTTTTTTTAACTAACGAGCCATCCAGGTGCCCAAAGTTTAATTTTTTTAAATCCCTGGGATTTTATGGATATTGTTTTGGATGACACTAAAGACAACAGGTACTTGAGGAAGAATATTAGCTAAAGAATGTTTATCATGATATAGATGATGTTTACTCTAGAGTAGTGAGTAAACGCACACATTGGGATCAGATTCTGGGTAAAGTTATTTAACCTTTTGAAGCTTTATCTGCCATTTGTAAAATGGAGATGACAGTAGGAAGAGTAAATTAGGTAAAACACAGGGAAGAACTTTGAAGAGAGTTTAGTGCATAGAAAGCTAAGAAACATTACTTATTTGCATTACTAAAATATGCCAAAATGATGAAGATGGCATATGACTATTTGGAGCTTTAGAAATGAGTGTTTAGAGTTATTTTATCCAAATGAGTGCTCTATGTACATGCAGCATTTATGGGGCCTTGGACACGGCATCCTTTACTGACTACCCCAGCCAACTCCCCTCTCATCACTGTAGACTGGGACCCACCAAATCCAGCAAAAGCTACCTCCATCCATCATTGAGACAAGGTTGCCAATTTGCCAATATGTTCTTTTTTTTTTAATGTTTATTTTTGAGAGAGAGAGAGAGAGAAAGAAAGAGACAGAGCAGAAGTGTGGGAGGGTAGAGAGAGAGGGAGACACAGAATCCAAAGCAGGCTCCAGTCTCCAAGCTGTTAGCACAGAGCCCGACACGGGGCTCGAACTCCTGAATCATGAGATCAGGACCCGAGCTAAAGATGGACACTTAACCAACTAAGCCACCCAGGTGCCCCAGCCAATATCTGTTCTAATAGTCACAGACCTGGATTAAAATCTGCTTTTTATGCTTGGCCAATAAATTTAACCTCTCTTTGTTTCAGTCTACTTATTAGTGAAACAGATAACAACATGACCTATCTCTTAGGGAGCTAAGATGATAAAATTGAGAGAGTGACCAGAAAGTACTAGACTACAGCTGGGTAACAAAACACCAAGGAGTTGCTTTGGCTTTGCTTTTCTGTGATTTGATTCTTGACCTTCAGTTTTATTTTTTGGAATGGTGTGATTAGTTTACAATTTAAGTTTGGATTTTGATTATTTAAATTATTGGTTTTTAACTTTTCAACTTCCTTAATACAAATTGGGGATTTTTTTTGTTTGTTTTCTGTTTGTTTGTTTTTTATTTTGTTTAGATGGCATAGGGCTGTGTCTACCAACTTAGTAAAACAAAATGTATTGGTGCCCAAGGAGGATACATCTGGGGATAGCTACATGGAATTTCACGAGAGCCAACAAAATACCAAAAAAAACTGGATGAAGAAAGTGAAGACTGTTTTGGGGAGCATGATGTCCTACAAATGTAGACACAAGTCAGCAAGTGGCGGCAGAGGGACCTCCACCAACCTTAAGGAAACGTTCCTTTCGAACACGCAGAGCCTTCTTCCTAGAATCGTCAAGGAACTTCCATCCCCCAGGTTATTTATGAAACCAAGAATGAGAAAGCTGTCACAGAATGGTAATCAAAGGCAACTTATGGTTAAGTGTCAAGGCCAAGAGGAATAGTGAAATGAGGATGGCTTTGCTTGCTGCCCAAAATGTGACATCTCCTGGGAGCTTGTCTGAAATGCAGAATCTCAGGCCCCACCTGGGTCTACTGAGTCAGAATCTGCATTCTGTAGAGCCCTGGGTGACGTGCTTGTGCATACATTTTGAAAAGTGCTGCGTTAGATTGTCTTTGAGGTCCTTCCCATTCCAACTGGTGGTGTATTGGCTTTAAAGCCACTTTGTCATTGAAACATGCGCACACAGGCATATATGTGTGTATATGCATGTACACATCTATACATGTACATACATATATATTAGAAAATCAAACCAAAGTAGGATTTTTCCTTTCTTTTGTTTCTGGAAAAAGTAGGAATGCAGCCTTTGAAATAGCTACTTCCTACAGTGGAGGGTATGGGAAAATTCTGTGAATATAATTTATGATGGATAAGTCCTCAGAAACATTTTATTTTATTGTATCTACTTCCTGTGTACCTTGTGGAAGGATCAGCATTTGAACTGTTAAGTTCAAGTCTTTTATGCAATGTAGTAACGCTCTTTGGTGGGACGAGGGGTCCTATGAGTTATGACGAACAATCCCACTAATCTTCGCATTCTTCTCTGTGGCTTTTCTAAGTTGATAGACTATTTTTTAGAGCAGTTTTAGGCTTACTAGAAAAATGGAATGGAAGATACAGAGATTTACTTCCCATATACCCTCACTCACTCCTTACCCCACTCACACCTTTTCCCGTATTATTAACGTCTTGCCTTAATATGACAACCCCATTATGTGATGTCATATATCCACCATTACAGTGCCATACAGTACAGCTTCGCTGCCCTAAATATCCTGTGTAGCTTCTTAATGTCCTTTATAGCAGAACATCAGGAAATGAATATAGCCCTTACAACACACGTAGGGAATCCACACAAATCCCACATTTCACACAGTGTTAAGGCTGCTTACCTGGTGAGTACTTTTTTCAGAAAAGAAACAAACAGATAAACACCCCCAAAGATGATGCCTTTCAACTGACTGCCCTTTTAAACCCTCTCTTCTGGAAAAAGCAGTCACTAATGCTAGCATCCAAGCATCCAGCAATAACCTGGTATGTATGTACCTATCTATTTTCATTGAAAATAACAAAGAGAACATGTTTCTATACTGACGGGGCTGAAGTTGAAGAGTCTAACAGGAAACAGAGAATCAAATTCTTTCCCATCTGCATTGGCTTATCTTAGTCTTTGTTGGAATAACCAACACCTATACCAAGATTTCTTCAGTAAACATGACTTTCAGGCCATAGCTCTAACATTATGAGACTATCTCACCTGTGGCCCAAGACAGTGTCTTTCCCCTGTTGACCTTCATGACAATTTTAACAAATATTTGCTAAATACTTATTTTATGTCCACCACACTATTAAGGATAGAGTAAGTAGCAGGTGGAACATATATGGCCCCTGATCTCATGAAATTATAGCATAGAGGGACATTCCAGCATGAGGCAGATAATCACATCTGATGCCAAGTAGCAGCACAGGGCACTCCAGAAACACATCACGGGTGCTCTAACTTTGGGGGAAGGGCCCCAGGAAGGCCTCCCAGGGGAAGCAACAGCTCAGTTGAGATTTGAAGGACAACTAGATCAGATGAGGAGAGCGGGACGGACAAGTTTTCCAGGAAGAGGGGAGAGCATATTCGTGTCACAGTACAAAGAAAGCCTGAAGCATAACAAAGAAAAGAAAGTAATTTAGTCAGGGAAGGGCTAGTGAATAAGGTGGTCAGGGTGGTGTAAGCCACACTAACAATTTTTAACTTTCTCCTAAGAATTTTTAACTTTTTGATAAAAAAGCATCAAATGCTTTCAAGCTGGGGGTTTATAGAATCTGATTTGCATTAAAAAATTTTTTATAGTTTATTTTTGAGACAGAGAGAGACAGAGCATGAGCGGGGGAGAGGCAGATAGAGAGGGAGACACAGCATCTGAAACAGGCTCCAGGCTCTGAGCTGCCAGCACAGAACCCAATGAGCGGCTCGAACCCACAAACTGGCGAGATCATGACCTGAGCCAAAGTTGGATGCTTAACTGACTGAGCCACCCAGGTGCCCCTGATTTGCATTTTTTAAAGACAGCTCAGGCTGTCAGGCTGGGAGGAGGGCAAGAACAGATGCACGAAGAAGGATAGAAAGGCTCTTCACACTCATTAGGGCAAGGAATGATAGTACCTTGGTTGGTTGCAGCAGTGGGATGGGGAGGTAAAGGGAGAAGCAGTCACAGGTAGAAGTTGTGAGATTTGGGGAAGAGCTGAAGAGTGGAGGGCGGGGAGAGGGAAGAGCCCCATTCACTTAGGAGCCACCACTGCTCCAGAAGTCCTTATCAATGGACTTTTAAGCAAGATATTAGGCATGAGCACAAGGTGAAGGCACTGAAATACTGAATTGCAAATACCTCCCCCTCACCCCCATGCCCTTGTCAATCCCTTTGACTACATGAAGTAACAGCCTCATTTCCTGCCTTTTTTTTTTTTTTTTTTAGGGAGAATAATCTTAACTTTTGTGCCTTCTGCAGGCAATAACATGGTTTGCTTTTACCATATTAATTTTAATGCCTATTTAGGATACATTTTTAAAATTTATGCTAGTGTTTTAGTTTCCTTTATAAAAACATTTATTGTGTTAAGAATTGAATTGATATAAAGAAAAATATGAAGGAGGCTGAGTTTCACATGCTCCTAGAAAATGAATGTGGGATTTGATGACGGAGCCTTGAGCCACATGGCTGAGGAGTGAATAGCTTTAAATATTGTTTCATTCAATGACAAATACTCAAGGGATGGCCTTATACATTAGAAGGTTAGTTTTTCTAATTCCACAATAATTAAAGGAAAAAGTAATTCAGGGCAAAAATGATGTCTCAAACATGGAGATTGTAACCACTTTGTCAGAATGGGTTGGTGACCACTGAGGTCATGGCCACAAGAAAAGGTAGATGTGTACAGGAGAAAGTGTAAGATTAGAAAAAGCAAACCCAGGGGCACTTGGGTGGCTCAGTCAGTTAAGCGTCCAACTTCCACTCAGGCTGTGATCTCAGGGTTTGTGGGTTCAAGCCCTGCATGGGGCTCTGTGCTAATAGCTCAGAACCTGGAGCCTGCTTTGGATTCTGTGTCTCCCTCGGTCTCTGCCCCTCCTCTGATCACACTCTGTCTCCCCCTTTCTCTCTCAAAAATGAATAAAAAAATTTTTTTTAAGTTAAAAGAAAGAAAAAGTAAACCCATTTTTTGTCTTTAACCCCAAGGAAAAAAAAGCTACTGAGGCAGTGTGGAATGTTCTCTTTTCAGAATTTCTTCCTTCCTTCCTTCCTTCCTTCCTTCCTTCCTTCCTTCCTTCCTTCCTTCCTTTTGTTCTTTTTCTTTCTTTTTTCTTTTTTTATTGTTTCTTTCTTTCCTTTTTAAGTTTATTTATTTTGAGAGAGAGCAAGCATGAATGTGAGTGGGGGAGGGGCAGAGAGAGGGAGAGAGAGAATCCCACGCAGGCTCTGCACTGTTAGCACAGAGCCCGACATGGGGCTGGAACTCACGAACCATGAGATCATGACCTGGGCCAAACTCAGGAGTCCGGTGCTTAATTGATGGAACCTCCCAGGTGCCCCCACAATAATTTCTAACAAGAAAGTTTATCGTTGTGATCCTTACAGGTTCTTTTTCCCCTTCTTTCTAAGCAACTATACAACTTGATGTTGTAGAAGCAGAGACAGAGGAGATAACCCGAGGAAATACACTGCTCCGGGCCAGGAGAACCACCAAACGGTTGTCTGTGACATCCCTTCCCTCAGGATTGCAGAAGGTACAGTGCTAAAGCACACTCACCCTCTACAGACTTCACAGAAGTCAGTGTCCATAATACTAATAAAGTCCTCATTATAAAATCTTTAGGTCTGCTGCTTGTGTCCTCCTCTCTGAGAATTTAAGGCACAGCAAGCAGGCTTTCCGGGTCTGATTCCTCTACTTCTGACTCAAATAGTTCAGCTTCTACTATCATCTGGGCAGCAGTAGAGTTATGGGCTTTCTACTGATTTTTTCAACTATTCAAATATCAAGTTGGTAAATTATTAGCCTCAGGTCAATCACACATGCTGCGTGGAGAGGAATTCACTAGACCATCACTGCCCAACAGAACTATGTGTGAAGAGAGAGGTGTACACTGTCCAATATGGTAGCCATTGGCCACTTGTGACTTTTGAGCCTGAAATGTAGCCAGGGCAATTAAAAAGTTGAATTTTTAATTGTATTTCATTGTAATTGAAATTAAAAGATAGTCACATGTATAGACAGTGTGGCAGTAGACAGTCCAAGTTTCCAAACCAAAGCCTATTCTTATCTGTGCATATATAAACTTGAACCTAAATTGCCCAGACTGTTTCTTTTTATCGCCTAAAGTATTATTTTTTTAAGTTTATTGATTTATTTTGAGACAGAGAGACTGTGGGAGGGAAAGAAAGAGAGGGAAAGAGAGAGAATCCCAAGCAGGCTCCACACTGTCAGCACAGAGCCCAACGTTGGGCTCAAACTCGCAAACTGTGAGATTATGACCTGAGATGAAACCAAGAGTCAGATGCTTAACCGACGGAGCCACCCAGGTGCTCTATTAGAACAAATACTGGGGCGTCTGCGTGGCTTAGTCGGATAAGCATTCGACTTCAGCTTAGGTCATGATCTCGTGGTTCACGAGTTCCAGCTCTATGTCGGGCTCAGTGCTGACAGCTCAGAGCCTGGAGCTTTAGATTCCGTGTCTCCCTCTCTTTGCCCCTCCTCTGTGCATGCTCTGTCTCTCTCTCTCAAAAATAATAAACATTAATAAATAAATACAAATATTTACTTAAAGTGAACTTTGTTCTGGTTTTAAGTGCTTTGAAAATATCAACTCAGATAATAATTACAGCAGTCCTTTAAGATACGCAGCAATACTATCCTTATTTTAAGGATGGCACTGGGAGGTTAAATACTTTGCTTAGATAAGTGGTAGAGACAGGTTTCAAACCCAGGAAGGGCTGGCTCTAGAGTCCTTAATCTTAATTACTATGCTGAATACTAATTGTACTGTCCCAAACGGTAGCCGTTAGTTATATGTGACTGTTCAATTAAAATTAAAGTTCACTTCCTCAGTTGCACTAGCTACATTTCAAGTTGATTGATAATGACATGTGGTTTATGGCTGCTGTATTAGGGAGCATATAAAGAAAATTGCCATTTGTGGGGTGCCTGGGTGGTTCAGTCAGTTAAGCATCCGACTTCAGCTCAGGTCATGATCTCACAGTCCGTGGGTTCAAGCCCTGTGTCGGGCTCTGTGCTGACAGCTAGCTAAGAGCCTGGAGACTGCTTCGGATTCTGTGTCTCCCTCTCTTTCTGTTCCTCCTCCACTCGAACTCTGTCTCTGTCTCTCTCTAATAATAAATAAAACTAAGAAAAAATTAAAGAAAATTTCCGTTTTTGCAGAAAATTCTGTTGAACAGTGCTGTTCTAGAGTATCATTGTCAGAATGCAGCAATATTAGTTTTGAGTTCTGCCTTTTGTGTGCTAGGTTCACATTCATTGTATTCCTATTATGTACAGGGCAATTTCTAGCTTTGGGGACTATAAAGGTGATCTTAAAGCCATAGTCCTGTTGTGTGAACCTTATGGTTTAGTAGAGGGGATAGACATTAAACCATGCAGAACATGGAGGTAAGGATGATTTCTTGAATGAGCGGCACCAGGACAAGTAGGTGTTCATAGAGGAAAAATGAAATTTGGTCCCTATCTCATACCATAGACAAAAATTGATTCCTGTTGGGTTCTAGATCTGTGTGGAAAAGGTCAAACCTTAAAACCTCTGGAGAACAATAAAAATGACTTCAGTATACAGAAAGACTTCTGAGGACACAAATATCACTGACTGTGAAAGAAAAAATGGATACATTTGGTTATAGCAAGAATTGCTGGTCAGCGAAAGACATTAAATCAAAGGTTGCCAACGGGCTGTGAAGAGTTTTGTTTAGGTTTCAGAAAGATCTCAACAATGTGTCTGAATGAATCGGTCACATTGAAAAATTAGAATATTTCCAGAAAAATCTGGATTTTAAGCCTTCTTTTGAAACCTAGGATTTGGAAACACCAGGCCCACAATTCCTCACAATGACCGCAGGAGATGTGCAGAGCCCGGCCCCTTGGCAGTAGGTGCATTCTCTCCTGCTTACCACCAGCTGCGACTGGTCCTGTTTTATACAACCTTCTGGACCATCTAGGCATTTGACATTAGAATCATGGCATTCGATAAGCACAGATACAACTTAGTAATTACCACGTGTGGTTAAGTGTTCGGTAGGAAAAAGTACTGGGTTTTATGGGAGAGAAAAAAGCGGGGTCCAACTATCTAGAGAGCCTGGGGACATCCTGCAGGGACATGTGAGCCTGGGCAAGCTGGCTGGGCAGAGTGGTGGGTCAGCGGACTCGTCTGCAAACCCAGACACAGGCTGGGTCCTAGATGTGATCCCTCTTCCCACTGTGTGTAGGTCTCACAATAATTCCGAATACTAGTTACTAGGCACAAGGGCAAGGAAGAGTGAACCCAGTAAGACTAAAAAGGGCCTATTAGCCAGGAGCCGTGACCTAGGAATGATTTCCCATAGCAACACTATCAGGGCAGGTACTTATAACCAGCAAGCCAGGGACGATCAGGCACGGGGCGAAAAGAACCCAGAGCTTTCTTTTTATGTTCAGAGACATGTCTGCCATGAAAATAAGGAAACCTGCAGAAAGGAGACCAAATTAACATCTGGATCCAGTGCTAATGAGCTTTCTGGGGCACTGGTCCTCAGCAGCTCCCCACTCTTACTGTGCTCAGCAGCTGCCGAGGCAATTTCTTCCTCTTCCCCTTACGAGTGACCTGCTTTTCCCCTGACACTGTATATTCTTTCCGAACCAGACAATCTCATTTCTCTGCACCCTATAGATCTCTTCAAAGAGAGCTCTGGGCACAAAGGAGATACATGGGGCATGGAGAATAATATGAATACGTTCTCCAGCCCAACATTGTTATGTGGCAAATGTCCAGTTTATAAGAGAAGGTCCCAAGGGTGAGAATTCTTATTTAAGCACTGTCACAGAAATAACGTCAGTACTTCTTAATCTGAAGTGTTTGTCGCATTTTTATGAAAGGTTCCGTACTCATCAAAAAAGAGATCCCGCTTTCCAGTACTGAAAAGAAAGAAACATAGCATGGAAAACCTGCTCCGAAAATCAGATCTGACAGTGGGAAAGCTTCAAATGCAGGTAGTGGACAAAGGCTTTTGCTTTGTGTTTTTCAGAAGCAGCACAGAGGGCCCAGCTGAACTGAACACACAGGCCTGCTAGACAGCACGGTTGTGGGATGGAGTTAATGATTAGCATGAAGAAATAATGTTAGTGGGGGGCGTTCTGAGGGTGGCTGAAGGATTGCTAAGGGCACCTCGGATGATGCTGTGTGCCTAATAAATATTGAGTGAATTCAATTAGAATGAAGGCACGTACAAAGCCTTCTTTTGAGAAGAAATGAGATCGTCTTTACCGCTGGGTGGTAAATGCATATTTTCAAGCTCTGTTTGCTATGACTTGAATTAGAATGATACTTTGGGGTTTGCAAGCCATCCACCAATTCCTGAACTTGTCTCTCAGGAAAAACAACCACCCCTTTGGTTTTGACAAGGTTTTCCCTCACACGGCTGCATGTCTTTGTATCTGTCACAGGTGGATGACCTCCTAGAAACAATGACAGATAAATCCATGAAGTTATTGGCCCAGAGATATGCGGAACTTCAACAGTGTGAGTTTCTAGGGGATGAAATTCTTCAGTCTTCGAAGCAATTCCAGAGGCTATCTAAGAGAACCATGAGGAAGTATAAACTGAAAAATGTGTGTTTCCCGTGTACCCGCTGCTGCCTCGGCTTTTGTTCCTGAGTGCACAGAAGTGATCTTTATAGGAATTCTTATCTTTTTGGCACATAATCCTGAATAAATCTCTCTAGTGAATAATCAGTTGGGGAGAGGGACATTACTTAGAATATTCTGTCCAAAAGTCCTTCAAAAAATCCTTTTTTGAAAAATGGATTTTTAATTCTGAGTCAATGTAAGCAACTTTTTGCTTCATAGTTCTTCTTAATATCAGAAAACAGAAATATTTATCAGGACACAGGAGGCCCGCAAAGAAATTTCTCCCATGATTTGCCAGATGAAATTAGAGGAAGCAGTTAAAGGTATTACGACACTTTCAGTATGAGTACTACTGAGTTAATTTTAAACTTTCATATTTAAAGATAAGAATTCTTATGAAGATTACAAAAATTTAACATTGTTTAAGGCATGATTCATGTGAACTGTCATGTTCTTGAACTAAAAGAAATGGATAAGGATGGAACCTCACAGGTACCGAACATTCAGTTCCATACTTAAGAAACTTACAAATGGTTCAGCCTTAGCTTAGTTTTTAGGATTATGAAATCCTTTATGCAAGACCATCTTAACAGACTATTTTTCTGAGACAACTTTTTCTTTATCAATATTCCTTCTACAGAAAATGACCCCTCCATAATGAAACGGTAGGAGAAAACATACTAACAAAACATTTAACAACCATTTTGAGAGAGATCTTGAAAGCAATGTATATTGATTTACTTTGCATCTTATAGTTACCTCTTCCACCGTTGATAGTATCATGTAACCTCTCCCCAAATGAGCATACACCACCCATATTTTGTACATAATTTCACAGATTTGCAGCCCTCCTGAAGCCTATTCATAAAGTCCGTTTTCAAAAGTGGTAACAATTTCCAGAGTGACTCATTTCCTCACACCCATCCTAGAAATGCCACTTTCTCACAATCTTCAACTTAGTATATAAGCCAATCAGTGTTACCAGTTACAAACTTCCTAGAATAATGCTGAGCACAAAACATATCTGGCTTGAAAACATTTTATTTGGGATGTTGCTTCCTACCTTTTAAGAAAAAAAAAAGGCATTTCAATACAAATGAATCTATACGTAAGTATTTTTCCTTTGTGTAAAGAAATAGAAATGAAGTGTACATTATTACTTAAAAGCAAAGTAGTTCACTGCCAAAACTTTAAATATCTCGAGAGCACAACAAATTCCAAACACACTGAGAGCACGTTGTTACTTCGGTATTCTTGGGAATGGTGAACCATTAACCTGTCTATGCCTTGGAGTCTGATTCCATGCTGGTTTCTTGAGCTTCTTCTACTTCGGAGAGCTTTTCGTCATCTGCAGTTGAGAAAGAACCATAAACCTTGAGTCAAATTTGCTTACGTTACATATTTAGTGAATACACGACAACATTTTTAGCCTTTAGTAGCCAATACATCTAAAACAGAGATTGTAGAAACACAGCCTAGGACTGTAATCGGCCCATACAGTGTTTGGTTTCAAAAATGCTGTTTTGGTTGTTGGTGTCTACTAGTTGAATCAAAGTATAAAATTTATGTGATGGAATACATTAAAATTTTTTTTTAATGTTTATTCATTTTTGAGAGACAGGGAGAGAGACAAAAACAGAGTGTGAGTAGGGAAGGAGCAAAGAAAGGGAGACAGAATCTGAAGCAGGCTCCAGGCTCTGAGCCGCCAGCACAGAGCCCGAAGTGGGGCTTGAACCCACAAACTGTGAAATCATGACCTGAGCTGAAGTTGAATGCTTAACTGACTGAGCCACCCAGGTGCCCCTAGAATACACTTTTTAAAATGTATGTGAGAGAATACATTTTTTAAAAAATCTAGGTTTTAGACATTCCTTTTCTTTATTTATTTTGAGAGAGAGAAAGTATGTGAGGGGGGGAGGGGGCAGGGGGAGAGTCCTAGGCAGGCTCCCTCCACTCTGTCAGTGCAGAACCTGATGTGAGGCTCCATCCAAAATCAAGAGTGGGATGCTCAATCACTGAGCCATCCAGGCACCCCTGGGCTTTTCTTGAAAAGGATCAGGAGATCAGATAACAAAGAAATTTCCAATTGGCCACAGTCAATACAAACAGCATGTCTCTAGTTCCTGGAGACTTCTGTTCCATTCGCTGACTGTGCAAATGTGCTTATGTACTAATTCACTCACTTACCATTGCCTGCCTGGGTCCTCAATTGTTACTTTATAGCAGTAAACTACAATAAACCAAGAAGAATTCCAAATCTATCATTCTTGAATTTCTCTTAATGGGAACCACTGGTTATGTATTTAAATCATATATTATTACACATTCAGGCTTTTCTGCATAGATATGGAAATTGGAACTACATGAATGTCTTCTAGCATCATGGAGCTATACTCCTATTCTCATACCGCAGGTGTACTCTCTCAATCAGATGTATATTTTAGAAGGCACACCCCTGGATCACTTAAAAGTATAAACATTCGTTCCATGACGACTTCTACTTACTTTCCAGCGTTTGCTGAAGTTCGTGGATAGTACTAAGTAGAACGTGAAACTGCTTCCGTCTCAATTCCAGCTGCGTTAACGAGAAAAGAGTTAATGCACACTGATCTATAAACATACACATAGCACAGAGGCCAATATATGTGTGCAAATACCTTATCTTCAACACTTTCTTTAATATGTGAAAGATGCTCAAGTTCTTTTCCCAGAGATTCTAGTTCCCTGAAAATAATAAAACAGTGTTATATTTTGCTAATTAGGGGAACAGAATTCACAATTAATGCCTCAATTTTAGTTACCAAACAGTATTAAAAAAAAAACTTTTTTAAAGAATAAGAAGTTGGAAGAGGAGTTGGAAGTCTTCTTCCTCTTTTTTTCTTGGTAAAAGAAATAAAACACTGCAGATTAACTTGAAATACTCCTAGAACTTTATTGCCTGTTCTCTATCCTTGGCCTTTTTTCTTCCTTATTTCCTACTCAGGCAATCACCGTATCATACCAATCCTGTTTTACACATATATTTATTTCTCTCTAAATTAAATACAGTAGTAGTATATAATGGGGGGGTTACCTTCTATAAATGGTTATTATTCTGCATGTATTGCAGAAGTTAGGAATAATTTAAATTTATTGTATGTCTTCTGTTTTTCTTTTCACTGATTGTGTTTTTAAGTCTGAGCTTAAAAAAATGCGTATCTAAAAAAAAGTGCGTATCTAATTTATTCTTTTACACTGCTCACTTAGTATTCTACTATATGAGTATACCATATTTTATTTACCCATTTTCATTTGATGTATATTATATGCATTTATTTTTTTAAAGTTTATTTATTTTTGAGAGAGAGAGAGAGAGAGAGAGAGAGACAGAGAGAGAGGCAGAGAGAGAATCCCAAGCAGGCTCCACACTATTAGCACAGAGCTGGATGTGGGGCTTGAACTCAAGAACCTGAGCTGAAACCAAGAGTCGGATGCTGAACTGACTGAGCCATCGAGGTGCCCCTATATGTATTTATTTTAGACCTATAGGCAGTAAGACTGGAGGAAGGAAAAAATTTAATCAAGCAGTATTGGAATATGTTATTTGGAAGATCTGACCTCCTTTCTGAAACATATTTTGTACCCCCATAAAAATGAAGAATATGGGCTGGTATGTGAACATTTATGTATAAAAATTACTTTCTTTCAAAGTAAACTTTATTTTTTGGAATAAAAAAATTTTTTTTAATGTTTTATTTATTTTTGAGAGAGAGATAGTGTGAGCAGAGGAGGGTCAGAGAGACAGGGTGACACAGAATCCAAAGCAGGCTCCAGGCTCTGAGCTAGCTGTCAGCACAGAGCCCGACGTGGGGCTCAAACCCACGAACCTTGAGATCATGACCTGAGCCGAAGTCAGACGCTCAACCGAATGAGCCACCCAGGCGCCCCTCAAAGTAAACTTTAAACTTACTTTAATGTCTCATGTCTGTCTGGATGATGCTGAATCACTTTGGCCAAAGCATCATATTCTGAAAGATAAAAATATATTTACCAAATTCAGGTTTTTTGGAAACTGGATATGAAAACAAAATGTATAATATCACAGATCTCCCCTAATCACTTTCTCAGTGCAGAAAGAAATAAAAACGCTGAAGGATGGAAAGAGTCACTTGGTTCGACTATAACTATAATGATCCATTATTTCAAGACAGTTTTAAACAAAGGCTTTTGCTCCCAACCTGTTTTTCCATTTACCTGTCCCTGGGAAGGATATAAGATGTCAACGTAGTATAAGTGAACTTAAGCGATTATTAATCATTAAGCAGACTGAGTCTGATGACCATCTTACTCCCTATTTGCCCAGCAAAGAAAAGATCAGCTAGGTAAATATATCCTATCATTAATTTCAGATCTTAACAAGGGCAAATTACACATCTAATTCTCATTCTAAAAGTAAAGATTTCAAAAACTTAGAAATGACTTAAAATTCAGAAATGATAAAATTCTTTGTCTCTGTTCCACTGAGACTTCCAGGTTTCCTTGTTACTTCCTGTTAGGCTTTCTTATGAAATGATGAATGGCAGCATTCATTTAAAAACCTCAGTTAATCCAGAAAAAAACACTGTAAAACATTTAAAAATGATTTTAGAATTGTTATTAATAAATAAATACATTGGTATATCCTGTTTTAAATTGGCCACTGAACTTGACTGTATATATTTTAGAACGAATTCAAAAACCATTTTTTAAAAAATAAGGAATTAAACTTTTTTTAAAAAAATTATTATTTCTGTGAGAGAGAGAGAGACAGCATAAGCAGGGTAGGGTCAGAGAGAGAGGAAATTACAGAATCCGAGCTAGCTGTCAGCACAGAACCCGATGCAGGGCTCAGACCCACAAATGGTGAGATCATGACCTGAGCCGAAGTCATATGCTTAACCGACTGAGCCACCCAGGTGCCCCTAGGAATTAAACACCTTAATTGGTTCATTAAAATGTAAAATTCATTGTTTTGAAAATCTGAATATTAATTCAATGAAAGTGCGACTTAACACATTTTTTTAATTTTTTTTTTTTTTGAAAGAGAAAGAAAGAGCGAGAGAATGGGGGAGGGACAGAGAAAGAGGGAGACTCAGAATTCTAAGCAGGCCACAGGCTCTGAGCTGCCAACAAAGAGCTTGACATGGGATTTGAACTCACACACTGTGAGATCATGACCTGAGCCAAAGTCACAGCTTAACTGACTGGGCCACCCAGGTGCCCCCAAAAAAGTGTGACTTCTATTTCTTTATTTAAAAAAAATATTTTTTAACATTTATTTTTGAGAGATACAGACAGACTGCACGTGGGAGGGAGCAGAGAGAGAGAGCGAGACAAAGAATCTGAGGCAGGTTCTAGGCTCCAGGCTCTGAGCTGTCAGGACAGAGCACAATATGGGGCTTAAACCCATGAACTGCAAGATCATGACTGAGCCAAAGTCGAGTGCTTAACCGACTGAGCCACCCTGGTGCACCAAAAGTGTGACTTCTAGTAAAACTTTGTTTGGATTACAAAGGAATACATGATCAGTGCAAAAAACAAAAAAAAAGACCCTAAAACATAAAACCCACAGCCCCAAAATAACAACCGTTAACATTTTCCATTTCCTTTTAGTTTTTCGTACATTGGTCACAATTGTGATTATGCATTATATATTTTATCTTCCTGTCTTTCGATTTACATTATAGGAGGAGCGATGCCTCAGCCATTAAAAATTATTTTGGAATAGTTTTTATGGACTGCAATGAGGACAAACCCTGATTAAAAAACAAAAGATATCAGGACAAAACTAAACCTTAACCCTTCTTCTTATTAGATATTTAGGCAGCTTGCAAATGTTTGCTTGTTTTTTACTTAATAAAAACTCACTGAGCTTAAGTTCTTTTCTCTTTTCTGGAAACAAATAACAATCAAAACTTGAGGTCTAGTGTACTTGTGTGAATTGCCTTTGCTGACTAACCGTAACACTATTTAGGCAAAGGGGTCTGAAAGGTAAAAAGAAAAAATGAATACGTAAGAAATATTTAGATAATCAATACAACCCAGCAAAAAAAGCCAAAAAAAAAAAAAAACCCACATATTTTTTTTCAGCATAGCCTTCCTTCTCCACTATTTTAAAGAATAACATAGCTTTAAAGAATTAAGTTTAGTTGCTAATTCTTCTTAATAATTCAGGTTGATTCTTACTGAAGATTTTACCACACATTAAAAACTGCATGAAAATAGTACTCAGTAATAAAGCATTTGCACACTAAATTCCACAAAACCCTTACCTTGGCGATTTTTTCGTATTCGCTTTGCTTGAAGAATTTGCTTTTTGCACTCAGCAATTTTTTCATGTGCTCCAGCAATGCTACATTCTATGTGAAAAGGTTTTTTTTTTTTAAAGACAGGTATAACAACATGTATAATCTCCATCCATTTTCAATTTTAAAATGTGTTTTTAAATTAAGTTCCAGTGCTAATAAAATACAGGCTGGTGGTTTGAAACACATCTGTAACCCAAAGTATTGTATCATATCAGAATACATTTTTGTAGCTAACATTTACTATATTCGTTCTATTGACGTTATTATTTTACCACAAACCAAAGAAAAACGTTAGCAGATATTGTCTCCTTTAGGTCATAAGAATTAAAATGACATAGAAACATTAGTTACTTTACATTTCTTTACCTATTTCTTTGTAAATTTTTTCATAATTTTCCATTTCTCGGAGATTCATATCATATACCAACAAAGTTTTCCCCATTGAAAATTCACATTGGGACAGTGTGCTTAGCATACGTTGGTACTGGCTGTATCTAATGAAAAAGAGAGAGAAAGAAAAACCAGAATAAAAGTTTTTGTGAAATACCAAAGTTGAGCCATTATATAATAGGCCAAGATTTGTTAATTAAATCCTATCAAGTTCTGAGAGAATTCTTTCCTTTATTTAAAATAATTAAAAAATAAATAAACATTAAAAAATAATTTAAAATACCTTTCCCTTATGTTTTCTTTTTCCAGATGTGATGTACTTGAATTTATAAACTGCTTTAGTTACAAGTACAAAGATGAGACTGCTGTTCTTATCACTATAAGCTTAATTCAAACAACTACTTGTTTGAATTTTGTTTAAAATACATTTCAAAATGTTTTAATTAAGATGTCTTTTATGCTCACAATTTTATTTTCACCATTTTTTCACTCTTTACAATGATTTATGTGAAAAATTAATTCAAATGAGGGAAATTTTTCTAAGGCAAAAAAATTTTTAAATATGTACGAAGCTTTGCAATAACAATTTATTAGCTTATGAGAAAAAAGGAAAATCGGGGTGCCTGGCTGGTTCAGTTGGTAGCGCAGGTGACTCTTGATCTTGGGGTCATGCATTCAAGCCCCACATTGAGCCTAGAGCTTACTTTTAAAAAAAAGTTAAAAAAAGAAAATGTCACTTAGATATTTTGTCTAACTTATCTGCTAAAATTGACCAAATTAATGAGCCAAAATGTGATCCTCATTTCTTACCACTACACCTTTTGCACATTTTAATAAACATAAAGCAGGCCTCTGAAGAGAAAGACCAGAAAAATCTACAGTTGATTCACCCAAAGTTGCCTCCATTGGACTCGGAAGAGGAGTGAAAATCTGAAACATTGATAGGCTGTATACATGGTCTAAACTCTTATCAGGACATTAGTGTAGAAACAACAGTGAGACGAAATAAATACCCCTCTTCCTGGGACCCAGAGTTGCACCATTTAATGAAACTTTTCACTAGCAGATTGATTCTCCGATCGTCTCCAGCGCCATCTCCATCAATTAGGAGACGCTTCCGTATGACTTCATCTGGAGGAAAGAAGAACGTGAATTAAAACGATGGTCTGGCTCTTACTGGCTTTCAGAAACAAATAACTGATACCACTATTTATTCATTCATCTGAAAGAAAACCATTGAGATGTAAATGTACATCATGCCACTAACTGAATACTTAAAAATGGTTAAGACGGCAAATTTTGTTATGTAGGTTTTACTGCAATTTATGTATGTACTGTTACGTCTATATCAAGACAGTTATTGTCTATTATGTGCCAGGCCATGTACTAAGGGGTCGGGTTACAGCCTGCGCTTGTGGGTCTGGCCTTGCTGGGGTGCTGAGCAGAAAGAGTTTTCAGGTATCACCAAGGAAATAAACCCAGAGTTTTTGGAGACTTTTTTTTTTTTTTTTGGAAGAACTCATCCACACAGAAGGAGGGTGGAAGTGTTCCTCACTCTGACTAGTTGAGGTAGTAGCAGAAGGCATAGAAAGAAAGGACTTGAAAGAGGTAGTGGCAGATTGGGCCAAGAGAAAGAGAGATGGGTCAGAGAAAAGGGAATGGATTTATCAAAAAAAAAAGTGTAATTTAGTTATTACATCTGTAATATTTCTTTCCCAATGAAGATTTTTTTTTTTTTTTTAAAGCAAGTGTGTCTCACTTTTGCTCCAAGGAAAAGAAAAAATGAAACACAAGAGCAGGTCAGATAATGATGAGTTACAAGTGGGGCTCCAGTTGGCCTGTCTGGCAACCTGAAGCTAGAGTTCTTGCTGGACGAAATAATCCTGGATCATGACAAGAGAAAGGCGAATTGAAAACCAATAAAACATAATTTTCATCTATCAGATTTTCAAAGATCAAAGTACCTAATACAAAGTGTTGGCAAGGATAGTGAGAAACTGCATTTACAAACGCTGATGGAATGTAAACTGGTACACTGTTTGTAGGGCAAATGGGCGATAACAAGCAATATTTGAAACATACATACTGAGGATCTGGGTGGCTCAGTTGGTTAAGTGACTTGATTTCGGCTCAGGTCATGATACCATGGTACATGAGATCGAGCCCCACGTCAGGCTCTGTGCTTACACGGTACAGCCTGCTTGGGATTCTCTCTCTCTCTCTCTCTCTCTCTCTCTCCCTGTCCCTTCCTCACTTGGTCTCTCGCTCTCTCTCAAAATAAATAAATGTTACAAAAACTGAATGAAATAAAATGCACATACCTTTTTGACCCCATAGCTCCAATTCTTGGAATTCATCCCATAGATAACATATGCACCCATGCATAAAAATAAATGTAAAGGGATGTTCTTAGTGTTGCTCATAGTAGAAAGATTGCAAAGCTAAACATTTACCAGTAAGAGACTGGTTAAGTTATGAAACATTCATATAATGTAATATTATGCAGTCAAAAGAATAGTGTGGATGTATATACTGATGCCAAAAAATCTCCTTTGATACATGAAGTGAAATGAAAACAAAACAGGTGAAGAGAAGCATATAGCTTGCTACTATCTGTGTAGAAAAGGAGGTTTTGTGTATGTGCCTGTGTGCATGTGTGTGTATATCACACATGTATGTTTTTATGTATTCAAAGAATATCTCTGGAAGGAACACAGGAAACTGGTAATAGTAGTTTCTTCTGGTGAAAGGGACTACAAAGATGAGAAAAATTAATTTGCTATCTCATTTTGCAGCAATGTGAAAAAATTTTCTGTATCGTTTTGCAGAATTGTGTTTGTTTTTCACCATGTGCATGATTTTTTAAAAATAAATTTTAAAGTGGGAATAATTCCTGGAGAGCCTGGATGATGAATCAACAGCAAAATCTTTGAACAATAGTTCCTGTGTGTAGGCAGAAGTATTTCTGAGCGCAGGTGCAGCGGAGATAAACTTTGGAAAGCAGGTGGCTGCAGTTTTAAAATCTATTCTGTGACAACATCAGACAAACACTTTTAGAATTGGGTTTTGTTCTCAGAATCACGGCTTTGAAGGTCTCGATTCATCAGGTATTTTAATGTTACACTTTAAAATACAAACTAATGCTTTCAGTTTTTGACCACCAACAATGTTATGTGAGGAGCCTGAGACAAAACAGTCCTCGAAGAGATTAAAATGCAGAAAATAAATTGGTTTTATTTTTTATGACAAACATGCTCTACCTTTGTTAAAAGTTAATCTCTTTCCTGGGCACTGGAAACAGAGCACCTGCCAGATGGGTGAGCAGTCTGATGTTTAATGCCATTCCTCTCCTTTCTTTTCTTTTGGTCAATTTCTTCCTTCCTTCCTTCCTTCTTTCCTTTTTTAAGTTTATTTATTTTTAGACAGAGTGCACGTACCAGTCGGGGAGGGACAGAGAGAGAGAGAGAGGGGGAAGAGAGAATCCCAAGCAGGCTCCACCCTGTCAGCCAGGAGCCTGATGTGGGGCTTGACCATACGAACTATGAGATCATGACCTGAGTGAAAGTTAAGAGTCAGACGTCTAACTGGCTGAGCCACCCAGACGCCCTATCAACTTCTTGTTTTCTTATCTCTGCTCTTCCAACCCCCCAACAAACCCCATCTTCCTCCCAGATCCTGGGCATTCTACTTCATTGAGGACCAGGGATTTCAAATATAAATGCATTCAGGGGATAGGGAATAGGAAAATTGGGGAATGAGTACCCACCCAAAGCAGGGAAACTATGACCAGAGCTGGCTTTTCAAGAGCTTTTTAAAGTTTGGAGACCAAATAAAAACGTTTCAAACACATTTTGTGATCATTCCAGTTGTATATTTAAGATCTGGGTACATTTATATATGTAATATCCCAATTATAAAAGTTTTTGAAAAAAGTTTTGAACACTGTACAGCCCAAATAAACTTGAGGAAAACGTTCATGGGGTTTATGTCATATTCACTGTTTCCTCCCCAACCTCTCACACCATGTCTTTATACTTCTGATGCTCAATAAATATTTTTAAATTGGATTTGTGGTGCCTGCCCCGGACCATCTGCCCTCTGAAGAGCTTCGTTTCAATAAAATACTAACAAGGGTCAGCAGGCAACCATATTATTTTCAGGTCCAAAGCAGAGATCTCTCTACTTGTACAAAAGACATGAAAACTTGATCAATGAGCAGATGTGTCTACAGGGTACCAGTAATTCTGTGGATGTGACATAAAGAACTGAGCTCTTTTGCTCTAGGTGGAAAAATAACATGCATATGAACACAAACACAGAGGAGGCTGAGACTGTTAAATCAGTGACACAGACATAGTAGAAGAGATTAAGGAGGACAGTCCCCTTTGGCTTGGGGGAATTGCGGAAGTGGAATTCGGGCTGCTCTCTTCATACTTAAAAATTACCAACCAAGAAAGCTAAAGGGTATTTTAACAATATCTACCTAAGCTTCAAATAACATCTACCTTTGGCCCAAGAATCCTAGATAAACTTGCACATATTTCCATCAACAGGGGGCTAGATAAACTTTGGAACAAGAATACGATGGAATACTATGAAGCCATAGAAAAACAAAGAGTGAGGAAATGTCTGTGTACTGATATACAGAGATCCCTTAACTTGATGAAGGTGAGGACAATATGTATGGCATGTTTCCTTTCACATATAAATGGGAGGAGATGAGAATATATGCTTATATCCATACAGATACCCTAGAATGATATACAAGAAACTAACAGAAGGGGTTGCCAAGGGAGAGGGACAGGGTAAGCGGGATAGAGAACACACCAGGAGATGAGGAAATATCTTTTTATATTATTTAATTTTTGAACCATATGAACACTCAAAATCTGTTAGCTGTTGTTTGAAAAAGAAAGGTATGATTATGGTAATGGTATCAGAGCTGTTTGAATATGTCCAGATGCAATGAATTGTATACATAAAATATGCAGTTCTTTGTTTAAAATTGTACCTCAATAAAGCTGTTGAAAAAAAAAAAGAAAAAGAAAAAACAAAGGGTGCACCTAGCTGGCTCAGTCTTGATCTCTGGGTTGTGAGTTCAAGCCCCATGTCAGGTGTAGAAATTACTTAAAAAAAATAAAATCTTTAGATAAACAAATGAATTTTTAAAAAGAAAAAAAAAAAGAAAAAATAAAGCAAGCTCAAGTCCTTTCCCTGTGCCCCCCGCCCCAGGTTGGGAGAAAGCTGTGAGCTCCAGCAGAGGTGGGGAATGAGAGACTGGATGTAGGATGTGTACACATGAGAACATGAGGGAGGCTGGACAAATCTTGGGAGCCACGGACAGAAAGGCAGTTAGACGTCAGAATGTGTGAGTCTCCACTAGTGAATGCCAAGCCAGCAGACTTGCACCTTGCTGGTGGGCACCTGGGAATTGCTAAGGATTCAGGAGCAGGACTTTCTAGGAGGATTAAGCTGAGGACTGCAGCTGGGAAAAGCCCATAGGCAGGGAAGCTGTTAGGAGTCTATCAAGGCATAGCCAGTAGGAGCTAAAGTGGCATGAAAATTAGAGAGTAGAATCACGGGTCCTGGGGCTCCTGGGTGACTCAGTCAGTTAAGTGGCTGACCTCAGCTCCGGTTATGATCTCATGGTTTGTGAGTTCAAGCCCTATATGGGGCTCTCTGCTGTCAGTGTGGCGCCTGCTTGGAGTTCTGTCTTTCTTTCTCTCTCTCAAAAAAACCCAAAACCAAACAAACAAAAACACCACAGGTCCTGAGGCCAGGTTAGGACTAAGCAGAGCCTTGCTTAGTAAAAGGCAGGGGCCAATGCCGAGGTGACCTGAGTAGGAGTGTGGTGGGACCGATTCCAGTAGCACCGGGGATTCCCTGTCAAGGCACCTTCTCCCAGGCCCTTCTCCCAATCCAGCCTCTTCCTTCCAAGGGCATTTCTTCACAGCCAAACCCCTGGGCCAAAGTCAAAAAAACTGGGACCAAACATACAGTGTTTGTTGGGTGTGTGGCACCAAATTTCACTTCATCTGTAAAATGGGAATAAAACTTCTGTAAAATGGGAATAACATCTCCACTTTGAAGGAATGCTGCTGTGAAACTTTATAGAAATGAAATTACACAAA